TTTGGTTTAAAATTATAAAGATTTAAAACTGTGAAGAAAATGTTATAATGTATTTGACAACTAGTTGTCTTTCAAAGGCATGGTGTTCAACTAAAATTTGTTAAAATCTATTAATATCTTCGTTATATACATCTTTCCGTTGGTAATTTTTATACCCACCATCAAAAAAGATGTGGTATATTGATTTTGTCATTCCGTTTGTAACACATCGAAATATTGTTCATAGACCCACAAAAGTATATATATTCTGGGTCCTCATTAAATTCTAAGACGATCTAGCCATGTCTGTCCGTCTGTCTGTCTGTTGAAAGCACGATAGAGTCCGAATGGAAAGAGCTAGAGGGTTGAAATTTCACATAAATATTTTTTATAGGTAAGGTTTGTTTGGTATTGAAAATGGGCAATATCGGTCCACGCTTTTGGATAGCCCCCATACAAGTGGCCCCTCGAAAAGCAGCTTTAACAGCCATATCTTGTTTAAAAATACAAATATAGCGATGAAATTCGACATAAGTAAGTTCCTTATGATCCAAAATCACTATGCAAAATTTTATGAGGATCGGTCCATAATTGAACCTACCCCCCATATAAGGTCCCCTTCAGAAAATGACTTTAACGCTCATTACTGACTTAAAAATACTAGTATATAGATGAAATTCAACATAAGTAAGTTTCAAACGAGTCAAAATCTATCTAAAAAATTGTATGAGGATCGGTGCATGATTGACCCTACCCCCCATATAAGGTCCCCTTCAGGAAATGACTGCAACGCTCATTAATGGTTTAAAAATACGAGTGTAGCGATGAAATTCGACACAAATAAATTTAATACGAACCAAATTCTGTCAACCAAATTTTATGAGGATCGACCCATAATTGACCCTACCCCCTATATCCCCTTCAGAAAATTACTTTAACGCTTATAACTGGCCTAAATATACGAGTATATAGATGAAATTTGACATAAGTAAGTTTTATTCGAGTCAAACGAGGTGTGATGGTGGGTATATAACACTGTTACTTGTTATAATATAATTTTTTGACCTTTCATTTAGTCTTGTTTGTCTTTTGATATGAATTTTGAAATCAGTTTTCAGAAGACACGAGATAAATATATACGAGATATAAATCTTCAATAATTCTATCAAACAAGCTTTCAAGAAGACTTCTTTTTAAAATCAGACAAATCTCTCCATATCTGACCACGATATGAGCAAAATACCAAAACAAAAATTTTGTCAGAATTGTTTTCATTCGTCTAGGTATTGAATCGGTTTGAAATTGCATATAGCTTTTACAGAAATAAATTTATTTTATTGGTCCTCAGTACATAATTGACCACAGCTACCCTATAAGGTCCACTTCCGAAAAACAAAAAACAACATAATTCATTAACAATAGAAAAAAGAACACAAAAACACTCACAATAATATATTAATAAAAGAAAATAGAAAATGTCAAAAATAATGGAATTTTTCAAAACAAAAAATAAAATAAATAATTTTTTTGCTAACAAATTGAAATAAATTTCTTTATTAAATTCTAAAAAGAGAAGAAATAAAGACAAATTTAACAGAGCCCTTGCCGCTCTACTGCCCTCTTGTTTTGGGCAATTCTTAAAGGACGGCAAACCGTTAAAATGCCGATTTAATCAATAAAATAAATTTAAACATTTTCTTTTCTAAAAAGGGAGAAATAAAGACAAATTTTAGCAAAGCCCTTGTCGTGACTCTGCCATGTCATATTTTGTGAAATTATTCTTAAAGGATGACAAGCCGTTAAAGTTCTGACTTAATTAGAGAAATTTTGTCCAGGAATTTTCTAAGAATCCTTAAAAATATGGACCAAATTATTAGAAATATATATCAGCAAGTTCCGCGTTAATTATGATATCGATTTTAAAGATGTCAACGTTATAAGAATATTTCTTACCATGTCTTATTTTGTGCAATTATTCTTAAAGGATTACAAGCTGTTAAAGTTCTGACTTAATTAGAGAAATTTCGTGCAGTAATATTCTAAGAATCCCTCAATAATATGGACCAAATTTTTAGAAAATTATATCAGCAAGTTCCGCGTTAATAATGGCGATTTTAAATACATATGTCAATTTTATAAGAATATTCTTTTCAAACAAACATTTTCTTTTGACACTAAAAAATCAAAAATAGAAAATTTTTCTCTTGATTTAAAGAATTGTGCGATTCTGTTAAAAAACGACTTTTAAAATGGACCAAATTATTTGGAATATATTTCAACCCTCACCTCTTATTCCATATTACAATAAAATGTTATTCCTACAACCAATTTAATAAAGAAATCTTGAGCAACTTTATATTTTCTCATTGAAGTCTCACGCAGTTTCCGCGTTCATTAAGATAGCGGTATCAAAAATTTCGCAACTATTAGAAAATCTGTTGAATATTCTTTCATTTGATACCAAAAATTTGTTAATCTGTGCTATTTAAATACATTTTTTCTGAATTTTTGTGTTGGCATATTTAGAAAAATTTTAATTTTTATTGACATTTTTTTTTAAATTTTAAGGAGCGACACCTCCGTTCATGACTAAAAAATGTGAAAAATGTTCGTTGGAAAATTTTTGAAATTGATATAAATAAATGTTAGGGTGTCTCGATTGAAATAAATAATTATATAAGTTAGGGTATGCAGTAATTGGTATATTTTGTTGGATTCTCATATTTATTAATATTTTCTGAAATACTGAACCGATTTAAACAAATCGTATGTCGTTGGAAAGCTTATAAAACAAGCGTTTATATGTATAAATGACTTCATTATTTCTTTGTAACTACTTCCCGTTGTTCTCATTTGGGAAAGATTTTCTTGTTGCACAGCGTAAATAACAGGACGAAATCAACTTTATACAATTAAAAATTTTTGGCGAAAGCATTGACTTTTTTGGTTTAAAATTATAAAGATTTAAAACTATGAAGAAAATTTTATAATGTGTTCAACTACAAGTTGTCCTTCAAAGGCATGGTGTTCAACTAAAATTTTAAAAAATAATACCTTCGTTATATACCTACAAATATATAAGTTTATCTTTCTGTTCTTTCTGTAATTTTCTGACCTTTCACTTAGTCTTCTCTGTCTGTCGACATGAATTTTGAATTCAGTTTTCAGAAGACGGCAGATATCTGCGAGATTTAAATCTTCAATAATTCTATTAAACAAGCTTTCAAGAAGTTTTCTTTTTAAAATAAAACAAATCTGTCCATATCAGACCAAGATATGATCAAAATACCAAAACAAAAGTTTTGTCAGAATTGTTTGCTTTCGTCTAGGTATTGAATCGGTTTGAAATTGCATATAGCTTTTACAGAAATGCTCTCGCAAAATAAATTTATTTTATTGTTCCTCAGTACATAATTGACCACAGCTACCATATAAGGTACACTTCCGAAAAGAAAAAAATATAATTCATTAACAATAGAAAAAAGAACACAAAAACAATCACAATAATATATTTATAAAAGAAAATAGAAAATGTCAAAAATAATGGAATTTTTCAAAACAAAAAATAAAATAAATATTTTTTTTTGCTAACAAATTGAAATAAATTTCTTTATTAAATTCTAAAAAGAGAAGAAATAAAGACAAGTTTAACAGAGTCCTTGCCGCTCCTCTGTCCTCTTGTTTTGGGCAATTCTTAAAGGACGACAAACCGTTAAAATGCTAGTTTAATCAGAGAAATTTCGTTAGGAATTTTCGAAGAAACCTCATGGACCAAATTATTAGAAAATTATTTCAGCAAGCTCCGCGTTAATAATAATGGCGATTTTAAAGATGTCAAATTTATAAAAATATTCCTTTCAAATATTTTTTTTAGACATCAAAAACGGAAAATTTTTCTGTCGATTTAAGGAAATGTGCGATTCTGTTAGAAGACGACTTTTAAAATGGACATTATTATTAGGAATATATCTCAACTAATTCCTCTTATTCGAAATTAACATAAAACCAGGTTCCAATTACGAATTTCATAAAGAAATCTTGGGCAACCTTCAATTTTTCTTAGTGAAGTCTCACGCAGTTTCCGCGTTCAATAAGATGGCGGTATAAAAAATTTTGCAACTATTAGAAAATCTGTTAAATATTCTTTCGTTTGATACCAAAAAATTCTTAGTCGGTGGTATTTAAATAAATTTTTTAAATTTTAAGGAGCGGCACCTCCGTTCATGGCTAAAAAATGTGAAAAATGTTCGTTGGAAAATTTTTGAAATTGATATAAATAAAAGTTAGGGTGTCTCGAATGAAATCAATAATTATATAAGTTAGGGCATACGGTAATTAGAATATTTGGTTGGATTCACTAATTTATTGATATTTTTTGAAGTAATGGACCGATTTAAACAAATCGTATGACGTTGAATAGCATATGAAACGGGCTTTCATGTATATAAACAAAAAGTTATTTGACAAACACATATTTGTTAATTCTATTGTATTTTTAAAAACAATATAAATGTTAAATTTGTGATCGGTTAACAAAATGAAGAAAAATGTTCATTATCATTTATTGAATATAATGATATGTGGGTAAATCTAATTCTTATTAGAAATATATTCAATAGGTATAGCAACCCCATTAAATACTTAGTAGCATTTACTGGGAGACGCGTAGAAACTGAAACAACACGTGCCAGTATAAAATTCCTTAATTTTTCTTTTAATTATTTAAAATTCTACCAAATTATGCTGTAATATAATGTTAAAAGTCTCACTGCTTAAAATTACAACAAACACATAGGACTCTACTACAACGTAAATATTTGTGTAGGTCAGTATCATAGAGCACAAACAGACAAACTTTTTGCTTTTTGTTTCTTAATGCATTTTTCTACTTTTATTTATATTTTTTATCAAACTAATAGCGCTTTATTGCATAGGGAACGCTTTCAGGGCATAAGTTTTCCTCCGGCCAACAATTTGGCGCCAAAATCATAAAATTTTCATAATGAGACTCCGGCACTTACCTGATATTTAACCTCCTCAAAACCCTTAGCCACTGCAGCACGCCAGTTCAAAACTAATAAAGAATTCTCCTGGGAATCCCAACAATACAATAAATCATCTTTACATTCCAATAGATTTTGTGTTTGCAAACGTTCCATGGGCAGACCAGCACGTATTTTGGCAAACATGCTGGTTTTGTTAAGTTGCAAACAGTCAGTGGAGGCCATTTTGTTGATGAATGATAATAACTACACAAAACACTTTTGTTCACTAAATAAGTTAAGATTTTACTTGTTGTTTTATGTTTTTTTAATAATAAACAATTTAAATTTCTTTTTCTGCACAAAACACACTACTTTTTGTTTAATTTTTTACACTTTGCTTGTTTTTTCTTTCTTCTTTTCTATTTTGACCGGCAACAATTATTACACAGTTGTAAAAAGTAGTAGCAGGGTGGTTTTACAGCTGTTAGTGTTAAGGTATATCAGAAAATTTGACAAATAGAGGGCGCTGCAAATAACTTAAAGCAAATTTAAATTAACGTTGAAATTAACCTAACAAAATAAAGGCAAATTATGTAAAAGTATTTTTTAATAAAAATTTTAAGTTTTTATTCAAAATGTTAGCATTTTAATACGGAAATTAGTAGTTTAAAATATTTTCTATTGATTTTTATAACATTTTCGTTATTTTTGTGCTCAAAGAGTGTTTTATTTTGTGTTTATTTATTTGTTTGTTAGATTTTTTGGTTATCTCTTATTCTAGATTTTGTTGTAGTTAGTTTTCTTCTTTTGTAAATTATGTCTTACAACTTTCTTTGGAGTTTGAGTACAATTTGTGTGTTTTTGTGTGAAAATCTTTAAAACAAAAACAACAAACAACTCCTTATTTAGTTATTTAACACAAATGCCGGAAGTTATTGAGTTCTTCGCACAATAATTTTTAAGTCTATAAGGATGTTAAGTGTACTATAAGTTTGTGCTGTTAGACTAGTTGAATTTTCCCAGAGTTTGGGTGTTGTAACTGCAGTTGATGGTTCGATGAATTTATTACTTACAAAACAAAAAGCAAAAACAACAAGTTAAAACATTAAATTACAATACTATATTTTAAATGGCTAAAACAGGGGCTATTAGTTGGAAAAGTTTAACGTTTGAGAAGCAGCCAAAAGGAGTAGTAGTTGGAAGAAAGTAAATTCTATAAATTATAGAAAATTTTATTACACAAATTAAACTAAAAAAATACATAAAAAAAATATAGACTAGACTCTAAACTAGTCTATAAACTAGATTATAAACTATACTATAGACTATACTATAAAATAGACTATAGTCTAGACTATAATTTAGACTATAGACTAGACTATAAACTAGACTATAGACTAGACTATAGACTAGACTATAGACTAGACTATAGACTAGACTATAGACTAGACTATAGACTAGACTATAGACTAGACTATAGACTAGACTATAGACTAGACTATAGACTAGACTATAGACTAGACTATAGACTAGACTATAGACTAGACTATAGACTAGACTATAGACTAGACTATAGACTAGACTATAGACTAGACTATAGACTAGACTATAGACTAGACTATAGACTAGACTATAGACTAGACTATAGACTAGACTATAGACTAGACTATAGACTAGACTATAGACTAGACTATAGACTAGACTATAGACTAGACTATAGACTATAGACTAGACTATAGACTAGACTATAGACTAGACTATAGACTAGACTATAGACTAGACTATAGACTAGACTATAGACTAGACTATAGACTAGACTATAGACTAGACTATAGACTAGACTATAGACTAGACTATAGACTAGACTATAGACTAGACATATAGACTAGACTATAGACTAGACTATAGACTAGACTATAGACTACTATAGCAGACTATAGACTGAACTATAGACTAGACTATAGACTAGACTATAGACTAGACTATAGACTAGACTATAGACTAGACTATAGACTAGACTAATAGACTAGACTAAAGACTAGACCTATAGACTAGACTATAGACTAGACTATAGACTAAGACTATAGACTAGACTATAGACTTAAAGACTATTAGACTAATACTATAGACTAGACTATAGACTAGACTATAGACTAGACTATAGACTAGACTATAGACTAGACTATAGACTAGACTATAGACTAGACTATAGACTAGACTATAGACTAGACTATAGACTAGACTATAGAACTTAGACTATAGACTAGACTATAGACTAGACTATAGACTAGACTATAGACTAGACTATAGACTAGACTATAGACTAGACTATAGACTAGACTATAGACTAGACTATAGACTAGACTATAGACTAGACTATAGACTAGACTATAGACTAGACTATAGACTAGACTATAGACTAGACTATAGACTAGACTATAGACTAGACTATAGACTAGACTATAGACTAGACTATAGACTAGACTATAGACTAGACTATAGACTAGACTATAGACTAGACTATAGACTAGACTATAGACTAGACTATAGACTAGACTATAGACTAGACTATAGACTAGACTATAGACTAGACTATAGACTAGACTATAGACTAGACTATAGACTAGACTATAGACTAGACTATAGACTAGACTATAGACTAGACTATAGACTAGACTATAGACTAGACTATAGACTAGACTATAGACTAGACTATAGACTAGACTATAGACTAGACTATAGACTAGACTATAGACTAGACTATAGACTAGACTATAGACTAGACTATAGACTAGACTAGACTATAGACTAGACTATAGACTAGACTATAGACTAGACTATAGACTAGACTATAGACTAGACTATAGACTAGACTATAGACTAGACTATAGACTAGACTATAGACTAGACTATAGACTAGACTATAGACTAGACTATAGACTAGACTATAGACTAGACTATAGACTAGACTATAGACTAGACTATAGACTAGACTATAGACTAGACTATAGACTAGACTATAGACTAGACTATAGACTAGACTATAGACTAGACTATAGACTAGACTATAGACTAGACTTAGACTATAGACTAGACTATAGACTAGACTATAGACTAGACTATAGACTATAGACTAGACTATAGACTAGACTATAGACTAGACTATAGACTAGACTATAGACTAGACTATAGACTAGACTATAGACTAGACTATAGACTAGACTATAGACTAGACTATAGACTAGACTATAGACTAGACTATAGACTAGACTATAGACTAGACTATACTAGACTAGACTAGACTATAGACTAGGCTATAGACTAGACTGTGGAATTATACACTGAAGACTATACTATAGACTAAGTTATAGACTAGATTATAGACTAAACTATCAACGAGATTAAAGACTAGACTATAGACTAATCTATAGTCTGGTCTATAAACTATCCTGCTTTGCTGTTTGTTTAAAAGCCATTCCTAACTTTAAGGGGCGTTAATTTCTATAAACTTTGACCAGTTTTTAAACTGCTTTTAAATTTCAACTTTTTTTGCTTTTCATTTCCAAAATAATTGTTTTATGTTGTTTAATATTTATTAATTTTAACAATAGTATTTAAAACTCTCTGTTAATGTCTCGTTTTATACACTTAAAACAACTCTTATGAATAAAAGTCAGACAGCCAACTTACTGTACCAGATATTACTATAGTGAACCGGAAAAAACCCAACAAATTTTTATATGTAATAAATGATTTTACCCAGAAAATAAAAATAATAAAATAAATATGCACAATATATAAATAAATTAGCAAAAAAAATCGCATACACAATCCACTAGACAATCAACAGCATTTCGGAAAAAATTTTCATTATAAAATCATTCAGTTATACCAAGTAATACCGTTAAAATCACAACAATACCAACAACAATTTTAACATTTGCTGGTTAAAATTCACTGTTGTTGAATTGTTTCCCAACCTCCCACTTTTCCGAGCCACCCACTCAAACTCTTTTAGCAATCAAACCTTAATAAAATACAAAAAGCAAGAAGCTAAAGGAAAAAAACAAAACAAAACAAACAAACAAAAAAACATTACGGGAAATAAAAGTGTCCGAATATCTGTATGGTGAAATTGAGCCTGAATAAATATACAAATTGGCATAAAACAACAACAACTACAACATAACAACACTACTGGTCTGTATAGTCTAAAAGTCAAGTGGTCATTTTATTTAAATATATATTTATATTTTCCATATAAAAACTCCTCATATTATTTTTTTTTATCCATAATTTCATATGAAAGGGTTCATTTAAAAATTTGTGGAAAAAACAACAGAGACTTTTTCCATCATGATTATTATTGTTGTTGGTTTTTATGTTATAAAAACATTTATTAAAAAAATAGGTTTATACGTTAATATAATAAAAACAACAAAGTGGGCATAAAAACTGTTTGGTAAATGTTGATTTTTATATAATAAATATAGTCTCAACTCAATTTTTATGAAAAACCAATAGGAAACTTTTTACAACACACTGGACATTTATAAAAATGTTCATTTTATTATATTTAAATCAAAATTTTGAACCTGCACAGCTTTTTAAGACTTAAAGCTGAAACATCTTCACACTGTCACCTACTTGTCACAACTGCTGACTTATAGCTGAATAAATCATGACTTTGTCCCTGATCCACTTTTGTCATTTTCTTTCAAACTAAATTTTCTATTGGCTTCCTGTAGGTATTTTACATTTACATGCAATATTTATTTAAAAATGATTTTCTGGTTCATTTAAGTGGATTATTGTTGTTGCTGCAGCCGCTCAGGTTTTATTTTTCAAGAGTTTAAAGGAAAGTGGCAAGTATTTATTAAAAATAAATTGTTTAAATCTAATAAATTTTGGTTAAAGAACCAAAAACAATTATCAAATACTGGAAACTACATCATAATTTTTTAGAAATGTTAAATTTCTTATATAAACAACTACAATATTCTTCTGAAATTAAAAAAAAATAGCAGATTTTAATTGCAAACTGACAACATTACTTGTTTCTAAACAAATCTGGTAGCTTGTTTATGTCTAGCAAGCTGGCAACTTGATTAAGAGCTGCCAGTAATAAATAATAAACCATAGACTAGACTTTATACTAGACTACAGAAAAGACTATAATCTAAACTGTGAATAGATTGAAGACTAGACTATAGACTAGATTATAGACTAAACTATAGACTAGACTATAGACTAGACTATAGACTAGAATATAGACTAGACTATAGACTAGACTATAGACTAGAATATAGACTAGACTATAGATTAGACTATAGATTAGACTAGACCATAGACTAGACTATAGACTAGACCATAGCCTAGACTATAGACTAGACTATAGACTAGACTATAGACTAGACTATAGACTAGA